AAATAGGTACTTGGGTGTTACCTGGAGGAGAGTTCGGGGTCAACGCCCTCGTGGCCCGGTTTGTGACCACGCAAACCAGCATATGAACCACAGCCCGGCTGGTCAGGTACTTACTCTAGGTGTCTGTCCGGCTTCTTCTTGTTGTGGGTGGCATCCTGGGGGAGGAGGTCACAAGGTCCTTAAATTCAGTGAACTTCACTGTGGGATATAAGATCTTTCTAACTGCAAACTCATCATTCTGGCATAATTTTATCAGTAAAATAAACCATACAGAAGGCTGCTTGTGGTGTGTGCCAAGAACGTCACTGTATTCTGTGTAAACCATTCGCATACTAGGTAACTGCCAGTTGCACAAGTCAGCTAGTCTGAAGGAAGAGGAGGAGGGCCCCAGGGTAGCCTACTTTGTAACTAGAGTTCACCCCAGAGGTGCAGTTCCTCACATGCTTTCAGCTGAGTGACACACCAGAATTCTGTCCTGTGTATGGGTAAGCTGTAGTTATTGAGAGTATTTGTTCTTATTCTCTTGTTAAATTACTTATGTGTGTCATGTTTATTGTAAAGTTTATACTTAACTGTGAATAACATAGTAGGAGCTTAAGAAGAAAATTTCTGGTCTATATCTTATTTTTTAAAGTTGTTTTGACTTTCTAAGTGACTGCTGACTTATTGATTGACTGTCTTATTGAGTGACTGTCTTATTGATGGATTGCCTTACTGATTGACTGCCGTATTGACTGCCTTACTAAGGGCTTGTCGTATTAAGAAAACGTCAGGTCCACTAGGGACTTGACACAGATATCTACTGAAGAGGGGAGTCAAGTCAAGGCTGACCTGTGTCTCCCTTCCAATGTTTTTTGTCTAAGATCCTAGCAATTAGCGCCCTGGATACCCTCTCACAAGAACCTAACAACCCTCGGGGGCACCTATTTCCTGCTTGATAAACAGAGAAAGTAGGTGCAAAGGGACATACCTATACGGCTCACTGAGCCTGAGAAACAAACCCGTTTGGTAACGAGGCACATGAGTAAGTCAGTAAGAAAGTGAGTAATTGAGTGAGTGAGTGAGTTTATTCAGGCAGAAATACTCAAAAGTACAATTACAATTTTTGGTTAACCTTCTCCCCGAAGAAGAAGTGAAAGTGACTCACGTCGATAGGTTTTTGAAAAGTATACAATAGCTGGTAAAGACCTAGATAGGTTACTATAGGGAGATGGTCGCTGAGACGCAGTGGCCGCTTCAAGAAGGCCCAGATCTATGCTCGTTTCTGTCTCACAGAGAAAACCTCTATATCAATGTTGTTTATAACGGGAGGAAGAGGGGAAGAATATATGTAACAGTGAAGAGGGTAAACTAGGCCTTCGAGACGACGATCATAGGGTCGAGTTCTGTGTGAGGTAACGAGGATTTGAGGGAGGGCATCAAGGAGGGGAATGTCGCCCTTGTATACTGGTAACGTTGGGGTGATTTCTGTCTGCGTCTGGCTTCCAGGAGGACGCGTGCTTCCAGCCTGGAAACTGGAAAAGTGGAGAAAAAGTGTATTTATTTTTTAGATGGATTTATTCGTGAATTTCCCGCTCGGTGCGATTGGCTGGAGGGAAAAATGTGTGTGTGTGTGTGTGTGTGTGTGTGTGTGTGTGTGTGTGTGTGTGTGTGTGTGTGTGTACTCACCTAGTTGAGGTTGCAGGGGTCGAGTCCTAGCTCCTGGCCCTCCTGGTGTTTACCTGGAGTTTACCTGGAGAGAGTTCCGGGGGTCAATGCCCCCGCGGCCCGGTCTGTGACCAGGCCTCCTGGTGGATCAGAGCCTGATCAACCAGGCTGTTACTGCTGGCTGCACGCAAACCAACGTACGAGCCACAGCCCGGCTGATCAGGAACCGACTTTAGGTGCTTGTCCAGTGCCAGCTTGAAGACTGCCAGGGGTCTGTTGGTAATCCCCCTTATGTATGCTGGGAGGCAGTTGAACAGTCTCGGGCCCCTGACACTTATTGTATGGTCTCTTAACGTGCTAGTGACACCCCTGCTTTTCATTGGGGGGATGGTGCATCGTCTGCCAAGTCTTTTGCTTTCGTAGTGAGTGATTTTCGTGTGCAAGTGTGTGTGTATATATGTATGTATGTATGTGTGTGTGTCGCCAATGTGTACCTCTGATATCTTTTGCTGGTCTGCAGCTACTGGTCTTTAACTACTGGTTTCAGTCTTATTTTCCTCGTCCTGGCTTCATCATTCTGGTCCTGGACCCGACTAGACATTAGGGGAAGAAGGGTGAAGAGCGAGGTAGGAAGACAAAGACAAGGGTATGGGGGGAAAGGTGAGGCATAGGGAAGGAAGGAAAGAAATGAGGATGTAGAAGGGAGACAAAGGGAAGGGGGGAGAGGAAAGAGGAGGCAAGGGAAGGGAAGGGAAGGGGAGGAGAGAAGGGAGAGGATCCTCATCTGAAAGGATTACTCTCGCCTCCTCGATTCCCAGCGTGTTAATTGGATATTTGTGCGTGTTACTCTAACGACGCCCCCATGGTGCCTCCTCCCATGATGGGGCCATCCCATTCTCTCTCTCTCTCTCTCTCTCTCTCTCTCTCTCTCTCTCTCTCTCTCTCTCTCAATCTCCCTTTTCCACACTACATTCTGTACCTCTGGTTCGCCCTCTCTGTCCCTCTCCCTGGCCATCCCTCTGCCTTCTGCGTGACTGGGATAGGCATGGGTGGGTAGGGGAAGGGTAGGTAGGAGATGGTTGGAGAGGAGAGGGGTGGGCAGGATACCCAAGGATGCCCCATCTCTGAGAAGCCGCCCTCTCACCAAACACTCATTAAGGTTTGAGTCTTGTAACCTTAAACCGTATTAAGGTATCACTTCCCAGCTGCTTATACCCTTACTGCCACGTGCCCAAGGAGGGGCAGGGAGCAGGGGGCAGGGGGCAGGGGAAGGGGTAAAGGGGTAATGTTCTTGCTGCTGCTGCTACTGATGTTATTATTACTGTTTTAAATCTAAATCTATTTAAATTTATTGCAATATTCCGACTCCTATCTTGGCTGGAAATCCCTCTCTCTTGTTAGATATCCCTCTCTCTTGTTAGATATCCCTCTCTCTTGTTAGATATCCCTCTCTCTTGTTAGATATCCCTCTCTCTTGTTAGATATCCCTCTCTCTTGTTAGATATCACTCTCTCTTGTTAGATATCCCTCTCTCTTGTTAGATATCCCTCTCTCTTGTTAGATATCCCTCTCTCTTGTTAGATATCACTCTCTCTTGTTAGATATCCCTCTCTCTTGTTAGATATCACTCTCTCTTGTTAGATATCCCTCTCTCTTGTTAGATATCCCTCTCTCTTGTTAGATATCCCTCTCTCTTGTTAGATATCCCTCTCTCTTGTTAGATATCCCTCTCTCTTGTTAGATATCACTCTCTCTTGTTAGATATCACTCTCTCTTGTTAGATATCACTCTCTCTTGTTAGATATCCCTCTCTCTTGTTAGATATCCCTCTCTCTTGTTAGATATCCCTCTCTCTTGTTAGATATCCCTCTCTCTTGTTAGATATCACTCTCTCTTGTTAGATATCACTCTCTCTTGTTAGATATCACTCTCTCTTGTTAGATATCACTCTCTCTTGTTAGATATCCCTCTCTCTTGTTAGATATCACTCTCTCTTGTTAGATATCCCTCTCTCTTGTTAGATATCCCTCTCTCTTGGATATCCTTTTTTCTTGGATGGATTTCCTTTTGTCTTGGTTAGATATCCTCAGATATATACTATGGATATCTCCATCTTCCAGACTAAGATGGAAGTGCCTGTGTGAGACGGAGTGATGGGAGTTAGTGGAGCGCAGGAGTGAGTTGCAGGGGCGTGGGAGTGTCTTATACAGCATGTATGTGTACATACACCAACTTGTATTATACTGTTGGTCGCCTCTCCATTAATACACCAACTGAGGATGGGAATTCGATAGAAATTCTAGTCTACATGACACAGGTGTCAATAATATGACTTGAGCAACACAAATAACAGGTTACTTGTATAGATACTTAAATCCCCGAATCTGTCAGCAAGTTATTCTTGGAGCAAATGCTCTAATTTTGCAAAAAACAAAAAAAATCTTTAGTGCATTTTATAAATACATGGTAAGTTCAGTCAATATTATTATTATTATTATTATTATTATTATTATTATTATTATTATTATTATTATTATCAATAGTATTAGTACTATTAACAGTATTAGTAGTAGTAGTACTTCCCTCTCTCTCTATTCTCCCTCCCTGGCTCCCTCACTTCCTGCCCTCCCTTGTTCCTACTCTCCCTTCCAATTAACCCAGGGTGCTGGTTACACCCCCCACAGGGGAACGATAGGGATGGAGAGGCTCATACGTGTCAAGTTAGTCTATTTATGGGTTGATTTAATAACTGTGCAATCCCCTCGTTACAAGTTCCCACAACAAGATACGTAAGAGAGGGCGTTGTAAGACCCTTTGTCAGGGGCGTGTACATGGTTAAGGGATAGCCCCAGGGATTTTAGGGGAGCAGGGCATGGGAACTGGGAGAGGTATCGGGAGATTTGGCCACTAAGTAAGTTTATTTAGGTACACATAAAGACAGTTACAGTAGTTTTTATGTATAGTAACATAGGTGTAAATTATCCACAAGGATAAAACCCCAAAAAGGGAAGACAAAGTAACTTACTTCCACTGGGGTCCTTGCTTACACTGGGGTCCTTGCTTACACTGGGGTTCTTGACTTACTTCCACTGGGGTCTTTGACTTACTTCCACTGGGGTCCTTGCTTACACTGGGGTCCTTGATTTCCACTGGGGTCCTTGACTTACTTCCACTGGGGTCTTTGACTTACTTCCACTGGGGTCCTTGCTTACACTGGGGTCCTTGATTTCCACTGGGGTCCTTGACTTACTTCCACTGGGGTCCAAGGCTTATTTACATTATTTTATCTACAGTCATTGACTGGTATAAAGGCGTCGGCGCCACTAATAACCTCTTTTTGCTCCTCCTTACAGGTGTGGTTCCAGAACCGACGCGCAAAATGGCGCAAGACGGAGAAAACATGGGGCAAGAGCACCATTATGGCGGAGTACGGGTTGTACGGTGCCATGGTGCGCCATTCCCTGCCCCTGCCGGAGACCATCGTCAAGTCGGTGGATAGCGGGGAGGATTGCCCTGCCCCCTGGCTCCTAGGTGGGTATTCCCTGCTGCCAATGACAGCAGGTGACTTGCCTGGTGGGTGTTCCCTGCTAGCCTCTGTGTGGGTTGACTCAGAAAGGTGATGCCACTCTACTAATCTGGCCAGAGTGGTATTATACCAAGTAACTGTCTTCCTAGTAAAACCACTCTTACTAGCTGCCTTCCTAGTGAAGCTAGTCTTACTAGCTGCCTTCCTAGTGAAGTACTCACTCACAATCTTATCTACTAGTGATATCACACTACTGATACCTACAAATTCTAGCTACTGTAACATAATCAACAGAACTGGAGGCCTGGTCTCAGACCGGGCCGCGGGGGCGTTGACCCCCGGAACTCTCTCCAGGTAAACTCCAGGTAAACTGCAAGCAGTGACACAGTAATTAAGGTCACGCATCATCCTCACGGTAATTAGGAAGGTCACATTAATCCTCAGTAATTAGGAGGATCACACGCATCATTCGTTTGAATAGACGTTAAAGACGTATAAGAACTATGTTTAAATAAATATGAGACGTTAGTGTGAGAGGTTGAAGGTTAGTGTGAGAGGTTGAAGGTTAGTGTGAGAGGTTGAAGGTTAGTGTGAGAGATTGAAGGTTAGTGTGAGAGGTTGAAGGTTAGTGTGAGAGGTTGAAGGTTAGTGTGAGAGGTTGAAGGTTAGTGTGAGAGGTTGAAGGTTAGTGTGAGAGGTTGAAGGTTAGTGTGGAGGTTGAAGGTTAGTGTGAGAGGTTGAAGGTTAGTGTGAGAGGTTGAAGGTTAGTGTGAGAAGTTGAAGGTTAGTGTGAGAGGTTGAAGGTTAGTGTGAGAGGTTGAAGGTTAGTGTGAGAGGTTGAAGGTTAGTGTGAGAGGTTGAAGGTTAGTGTGAGAGGTTGAAGGTTAGTTTGAGAGGTTGAAGGTTAGTGTGAGAGGTTGAAGGTTAGTGTGAGAGGTTGAAGGTTAGTGTGAGAGATTGAAGGTTAGTGTGAGAGATTTAAGGTTAGTGTGAGAGGTTGAAGGTTAGTGTGAGAGATTGAAGGTTAGTGTGAGAGGTTGAAGGTTGCTGTAATAGTTAGAGGTTAGTGTTAGAGGTTAGTGTTAGAGGTTAGTGTGAGAGGTTAGTGAGAGTATTAGTGATGCTGGTGTTCTCAGCAGGTATGCACAGGAAGAGCATGGAGGCGGCACAGCAGCTGCAGGAGTCTGAGGTAGATGGCGAGAACAGCGACGGCAGAGAAGACCCACAGCGGCAGCAACAACAACAGCAGCAGACCTCGGGAGAACAGCAGGTAGATCAGCAGGAGCAACAAAAGAGGCAGCAGCAGCAGCAGGGTCACCCTGGGGACCACCACGGGGACCCTGAATCTGGGTTCCCACGGGAGTCCCCACACTATCCTATGGATAAGGTGAGTCTTTTCCCCCTCCTTTCCCCTCCTTCCCCTCTCCTCCTATATACACTACGGGTCACCTGGTGTCACTGGGTCACACCCTAGGTCAACAGGACTGACCTAACCGGTTCAAAATATACTGTAAATATTAACTATAAACCAGTGGCAGAGAAAACTGAGAAATGCTGTTTGTTACACCTTACAATGTTTGTCAAATCGAGAAACAAGAGAGGATTCGAACCCATGGCAAGTGGGTCTTAAAACTCACAGGCCAGTGCGTTAACCACTTGACCAGCGGGCTCTAGTGGTAAGTTTATTTAGGTACAGATATACATAAGTACAACTATCATACATAGTGTAAATTAACTTGATTTATCCACAAAAACGTCAGACTAAGTGATTTATTTCCATTGGTATCCTTGACGAACTGGTCTGTGGTGTTTTAAGACTTGCTCGCCATGGGTTGAAACCCCACCCGTTCCGTGGTTTGTCTATAATCGTGTTATTTCGTGAGCTACAATGTTTTGTGCTTGCAGGAAGTGGGAGGAGGAGCAGGCACCTTCGTGGGGGTGGGCAGGCCAGATGCCTCCTCCAGCAGCCTGCACACAGGAGGGTCGTCAGGTCAGCAGGCTGCACAGAGTGCGCTGCCCGACGACCTTCGTTCGAGCAGCATCGCTGTGCTCCGTCAGAAGGCCCAGGAACACGCCGCCAGGATGAATCTCAACAACAATCTAGCGGGGCTCCACCACCCGGAGCCTCTTCTCCACCACCACCACCACCTGGGAGCACACTTCTGATCCCCTACCTTCTTCTCCAACACTATCTTCACCCCACCACCCCCACCACCTCCTCCACCATTACCTTCTTCCACCAACACCATCACTACTCCAACGCCTTTAGATTTCTCCCGCAGCACTCCACAAGCGCCAATAAAGCCTCTACCCACTCCCACCACACCACCGCTGTCACCATCACCATGACCTCCATGCACCATCACTCCCCCATTACCCCCAACATCATCCATTAGATGTGGATGGAATTCTCTGCATTATTAAAGCATTACATAAGGGTTAGTTTTACCTGCGCCTCGTCTACCACCATTATAGACACCTCCCCCCCCCCCACCCCACCCCGACCTACCACTGCCAACCAACCACAATCATAGTCACCAGCCCAGCAACCTACATCTGCCACCAACAGGCTACCATCATAAGCCATCCACCACCATCACTACCACCACCACCACCACCACCACCACCACCACAACCACCATCCACCACCATCACTACCACCTCTACAACCACAATCCACCACAACCACCATCCACCACCATCACTACCACCTCCACAACCACAATCCACCACAACCACCATCCACCACCATCACTACCACCTCCACAACCACAATCCACCACTATCACCATCACTACCACCACCACCACAACCACCATCCACCACCACCACAACCACCATCCACCACCACCACAACCACCATCCACCACCACCACAGCCACCATCCACCACCACCACAGCCACCATCCACCTCCACAACCACCATCCACCACCACAGCCACCATCCACCGCCACCACCACCACCATCCACCACCACCACCATCCACCACCACCACTACCACTCCCACTACCACCACCACCACAACCACCATCCACCGCCACCACCACCACCATCCACCACCACCACCATCCACCACCACCACTACCACTCCCACTACCACCACCACCACAACCACCATCCACCACCACCACAACCACCATCCACCACCATCACAGTCTTAACAACGACGCTCTGACCAAATAAGATCAATCAACTTGGCCATTTAGGAAATATCAAGATGATTCAATGTATTTTGTGGGGATTAAAGTAGTACTTTGGGCATATATAAACAACTGGGAAATAGGTGGGAGGTGCTGACACATGTTTCTTTGGTTAATGTTGGTTTCCCACATGTTTATGTCCGTTTTTTGTAAGTTTGTCATAAGAGAAAACAGCAAATTTTAATGGTAAACTTGAATAAAACTTGGAATTTGCGAATATAGTTGCTGTGGGAGTTAATGTATTCCAGTGGAAATGGTAAATACTTTTCCGGAGTAAAGGGGAGAGTAGCCCCCTCACTCGGGACCCAAGAGCCCTTTACCAGCCTCAAGGAATCTCTTTTTCCCTTAAAGGGAATGTTCTTGTGAGACAACAAATGGTTCAACTAGTCAAATGACTCGTTAAACTTTGTAAGATTAGACCAGTGGCTGAATGGGCGATTGCAGATATACAACTCTGAGAGAACGAGGCAGAATCTGTTTGACATTTGAGTGGAATCTGATCCTCAGGTGATGATGGTGTAACCTTTAACATAGACAATACAATCACACACGTAGTTTCTTCTAGTTAGAGTTTAGATTCCCTTACCTTTCAAGATTTCATTCCCTTCCCAACACAACTTTTCCCACTCTTGCCATATCAACCATAACCTCCACCACCAAAATAACCGCGGATGGAGAGAGGTACCAGGAGCTACAGATCAACTCACGCTATTTCAGTGGCAGGACCCTCCCTCTAGCCACTGGAGGTACCCCAGGAGTGATGTGTTGGTGGGGATGTGTACCTTGGTTATGCATAATCACAGCACCCCAGCTTTGGGATCCCCAGGTACCCTGTGGTGCTACTGACGGGGAAGACTCGCCCTCAAGACTTCGTCTAGTGCCACAGGAGAGTGACGGTCACTGATGCGCTCCTGGCCACTCTTACAGGACGCGACGTAGAAATGTGCGACATTATTCAAATGTGTGAAATACATATGACATAAACCTCGCTTGGACGCGACAATCATTGTAATCTTAACGTCTGTGTTGCGAGAAGATCCTGTCTTCAGTCACTGCTGTCGCGAATGTTGCCCCCTGTCTTCAGTGCTGTCTCGAGGAACGTGAGTGCTATCTCAAGTAAGTTTAGTGCTTCTCAAGGAACTTCGGTGCTGTTTCAAGGAACATCAGTACTGCTCAATACAAATGTACTCTCGATATTACCCAAGATAGGGGTTCTTATTTTACTCCATTGTAAAGATTTTCTATCCTGACTGTGTTAAAACTCTGAACTTTGTGAGGAATGACTTTAAGTCTCTTCGTTATGCGTCAGGAAATTGTCTAGAAAATATATATGTAGTTTAACATGCAATTGGGAACAGGTGGACCTGAATTGTACCACCCTGGACCACTCTCTGGACCTGCTGGTCCACTCACGAATATATGTGATTGTTGTGTCTTGAACTCTGGGCAAAAAATAAAACTATTGACAGATTGGCAAACAAAACTAATGAGGACCAGTCTTGATAATGTTATGTAAAGTGCATCTAAGACTCAGAAGAATCCTCTGAACATTTAATATGATAAATATTATGTTCCTTACGTGTTGTTTAAGGTCATTACAGCCTTTTAAGACTCGAGAAACTATTAAACCATTTACGGAACACTGAAATGTTTAAATAACAGTTATGTGCAGTGCGTCAGAGCCAAGAAGGAATCGAGAAAGTGACAGTGATGATTCACTTCCAGTGGGCAGTGACGCACTCTTCAGTGTCTTGTATTTATATATATTTTCGTCTCGTTTGAGAGTGTTGACTATTGTTCATCCAGGTGATGGTGCCAGAACAACTACTCGTGTATATAGTAACTTCTTGCTTGCCTCACCATAGCGTCTTAGTGAAACTTTTCGTTATTTAACATTTTTCTCAGCCTTGCTGCAGACCTTGACTCTTTCCCGAATATTTCCTGGTTGTGATATTGACCTTTCAAACCCAAATTAAAATTATATACAGCATTAAAACTCACAGTAGAAGAAATATTTGATTGCGTCGAGCATATAACTGCAGGAGACACCTGAACAGTTACCACCTGCCACGGGAGTGAAAACTTAACATTTAACAGCCTTAACAATGTAGGGAATTGTTATCATTTAATTTAATACGCTACTATTACATAATTTACTTTGTTATGGGTTCATGTTTCGACTCACTATACAAGATACTTAGGTAGTATATGCTCTCTCTCTCTCTCTCTCTCTCTCTCTCTCTATTTCAACACTTGCTAACCCAAGAATCATACTGAATTTTCCTCAACTAATCTTACGCTACTCAGAAGCCGAAATAATAGATGTTCATAGAGAGGAAACAACAGCACTGTGAGGGAGGGTTAGGTCTTCTTTTGTTAGTCACCTTTTATTTGTATTTGATGTTGGGGAGGTTTGAGAGGTTTGTCTTCCCTGTTCCAGTCTTGCTGCCGTCTGGGTAAGTCTCTTTTTTTCTTATTCTGCTGGAAGAGGCTGTTTCTTTCTGGTTCAGGATATTTTTGGAAATCAGTTTTGACTATATATATAATGTCTGAGAGTAAGGTTATGCTGTGTGTGTTTTTAATGGTGTTTAATGTTTATCTACTGCATGAGGGTCATTAAGGCTGGGTGATTGGTTAATGGGGTTTAAAGTCTACTACACGAGGGTCATTAAGGCTGGTTAATGCGGTTTAATGTCTATCTACTAAACGAGTGCCATTAAGGCTAGTTTGTTGGTTAATGGGGTTTAAAGTCTATCTACTAAACGAGGGCCATTAAGGCTAGTTGGTTAATGGGGTTTAAAGTCTATCTACTACACGAGGGTCATTAAGGCTGCAGGTCACCTGGTCACCACCAGTCAAGAATACTTTAATACCTAAAATACTGATTAATGTAAACTACCAGTGTATATACCCTGAGAGAGACATACATACGCCACTCCCTGTATATCCCCAGTAGAAGACAGAATATACACAATAACAACAATTATAATTTATTCCCTCATTTTTTCACAGTTTTAAATATTTTGTCTATGTTAAGTTTATATTTGTTTGATGTTAACTTTTTTGAAGTTTAAATGTGTTGATTAGTCTTAAAAAATGTTCTTTGTTTCTTCTAGTTCACCTGATGAGTTACGTCCAGTGTAATTATTGTAACTTTCCGCGCCACGTTCACTTAGTTAGAATTTGGGGAGAGACTGAAGTTATTATTATTATTATTATTAAATATTAGCCGGTATTCTCCCGGCCCGGGCCTTTTCCAAGTGGTGGCCCGGCCTTGGCTCCCTCTTTAGGGAGTGTCTGAGACCTAAGTCTCCCATGGGAGGAGGTACAAGTACCTCCTCATCTTTGGGACCAACTGTCCCCAGGCCTAGCCACAAGCTAGGCCTCTCTGGTCTGCCATCCCCGCCCCAAGGGGGCTAATGGGAATGACAGTCTTATGAGCTAAAGGCTCGGGCTCAGGCACCTACCCTACCCTAGAAGGGCTGGGCATGGTGTCGATGAGGGACTGAAGACCTGAGATTCATTGGTTACCACTGTGACTGAGGACTCCAAATTTTTAAGAGGACGAGAAAAGGCCTTTTGTCCCTTAGAAATAAGACGGCCCACTTATGGGCATTATTATTATTATTATTATTATTATTATTATTATTATTATTATTATTATTATTATTATTATTGCTTGGTATCTTAAATTCCTTTGATCCGAAGATATTTGCTACATGTTAGCATAAAGCCCTGCTCTCCTTCCCTCCCTCCTTCCCTCCCTCCCTCCCTCCCTCCTTCCCTCCCTCCCTCCCTCCCTCCCTCCCGAAGGGGTGGTAATATCACATTAATATTCAAAGAATACTCAGTACGACTCTTATACGACTGACACTTTAAAGTCGGACGCGTTAGCTGACGTAGGAGTCCAGATGGCAGTTGAATGAACGATGGTCAACGTGTCTCCTTTACTTCGGCCACTATATGGCCAGTGTGTGTGTGAAAGGAATAGGGGTAAATGGAAGGTGTAAATCTATCTCTCTCTTCCAATTCTACTTCGCTATGGTACTTCCTTTTCGCGTAGTTTCCTTTACGTCTAATTTCCCTTCTCGTTGTTACTGGGAAGAGTGACCAGCCCTCCCTCATGACTGCTGGATCTTCATGGGTGGGTGGGGCAGTCCCATGATATAACTACAGCTACCCATCGGCAGGAATGATTGTCAGAGCCCTGGACACCAGCTGTGGCAGGGACAGTCTTGTACACCAGCTGTGGCAGGGACAGCTCTATACACCAGCTGTGGCAGGGACAGCTCTATACACCAGCTGTGGCAGGGACAGCTCTATACACCAGCTGTGGCAGGGACAGTCTTGTACACCAGCTGTGGCAGGGACAGCTCTATACACCAGCTGTGGCAGGGACAGCTCTATACACCAGCTGTGGCAGGGACAGTTCTATACACCAGCTGTGACAGGGACAGTCTTGTATACCAGCTGTGGCAGGGATAGGTCAATACACCAGCTGTGGCAGGAACAGTTCTATACACCAGCTGTGGCAGTGAAAGTCCTACAAGGGTAAACACTAAACACGTAGGGGGGTCACACAGTACTTAGGAGGACCGAGAGAGACTCAGGCGCCATCTACTGAACCTAAGATTCACCTGAGCTCCCCTAGATCAAGGCATGGT